CCTTGTCCGTGGGCTCCTGTCCTAGCTCTTCTTTCAGAGATGCTCACATAAGCATCCCAGGCAGCTCCTGACCTTCCCTCCACTCTCTCTTCCCAGCTTCCAGCCGAGGGGCTCTCCGAAGGCTTTTCCTACCTCTTTTCCTGATGAGCTGATGGTGCTGTCTCCTTAGATGGGGTCAAGGCCTGAGCAGCACTCTCTTCCTCTTTCTCTGTGAGTGTCTCCCAGTCCTTCTAAAGGCTAATCTACGTTTGCCCCTCTCAGGTCCTCGATCACAGGCCTGTCTTGACCCTCAGAAGATGACTATCTCAGTTTCAGATATAATGCTATCAGCTAAGAATTCCCTCCGGTACATTTGCAAATCACCCCTTCTTGCCTTCTTTGCAGCTGAGTTACGTTTTACCTGCCTAGGGTTATACCTCGGCCTGTAGCTTCCCTAAGGACAGTTGTGTATCATATCGTGTAGCAGCAGGAATAGTTCTGAGGGGGAGCGCATGTCAGAGACTTCCTTCATTTCCTCCTTCTTTGCAGTTTTGTGACTTTATCTGCCTCTGCCACTCACGACTTCTCATCCATACTGGTCTCTCTCTCTCTCTCTCTCTCTCTCTCTCTCTCTCTCTCTCTCTCTCTCTGTGTGTGTGTGTGTGTGTGTGTGTGTGTGTATTTCTGTGTGTTTTAATATGGTGATGAGGCTGTAGCTTATAAGCTGCCTTAGTTAGGGTTTCTATTGCTGAGGTAAAACACCATGATCAAAAGCAACATAAGAAGGAGAAAAAGAGTTTATTTTGCTTAAACTTCTACATCCCCGTCTATCCTCGAGGGAAGTCAGGGCTGTGACTCAAGCAGGGCAGGAAGCTGGAGATGGGAGCTGATACAGAGGCCATGCAGGAGCTGCAGCACACCTACTTTATTATAGCTTCCAGGACCACCAGCCCAGGGGTGGCTCTGCCCAAAGTGAGCCTGACCCTTCCACCCCAATCTCTAACTCAGAAAATGCACCACAGGCTTGCCCTCAAGCCAATCTGGTAGAGGCATTTTTCTCTTCCAGAATGACTCTAGCTTGTAATGAGTTGACATAAAACTAGTCAGCACACAAAGTAGAGTCAATGTTCATTGACTCGTTATTGTCATGTTTTCTGGACAAACATACATGGGTAAAACCTGAAACATGCTCAGAGATAATTGGCTGAAGTTGGCACCAATGTACCCAATTTCTTACCTGCAGATGTCTAGAGGGTCTCTCTAGGTAGCCCTGACTGCCCTAGAACTCACTAGGTAGACCAGCTGGCCTTTAACTCACAGAGGTCCACCTGTCTCCTGAATGCTGGGATTAAAGATCAGCACACCTGGCCTGGAAAATACTTCTTGAAGTAAGTCTTCGTGAATGCTAAGAGTGTTTCTTAGATTACCACATCATTGGTGGCAGAAGGACCCTTCTTTATGTCACCACCCTTCTTTGTCAGGGCCATTCTACCAAGTCTAGACTTGGGGGGGGGGAGAGGAATCATAGAGTAAATATCCCAGCAGTTACTTTCACACAATTGCCTAAGCAGGTCTCTTGATACAGTCTAGAGACATAATAAACATAAGATGTATGCGGTTGCAACCGGGGTACCGTGCATACTGTTCTGATAGTAAATTTCTTTAAGAATCAGAAGGACTCAACTCTAGAATGAAGACAAAAGCCAGATGTAGTAAACTCACAAACTGACTCTTGCTTGCTATCATTGTCAAGAGCTAAGTATGGAACTGTTGCTGGGGTAATCACTGTGACTGGCAGCTTTGACACTCTGCTCAGCATCATCAGCAAAACATGAAAGATGGGATGCTATGCTGCTCCTGCCGTCATCATGGCCCTGCGTGAGTGATGAGAAATGTTCTGTTCTATTATCTTAAGGGACCACTGTCATATATGGTCCATAACTGACCACAGCATCTTATCACTGTGCTCTCTCTCTCTCTTCTTAGCTTCACTCTTTGTACCAATGCTGTAAACACTTTCAGACAATCTTTAAAAGTTACACATTCCTTGACCCTGAATTTCCCTCAGACCACTCCCCTACTCCTCCTCAGCCTTTTAAAGAACAAAATCTACTTTTATGTGTTTTAAAAAATAATTTTCTAAATACTAGTTTTATTTCAATTTGACGTCAGAGAAGAGGGAGCCTCAATTGAGAAAATGCCTTCATAAGATTGGGCTGTAGGCAAGCTGTAAGACATTTTCTTAACTAGTGATTGTTAGGGGTTGACACCATCCTGGTATGAAGGTTCTGGGTTCTGTAAGAAAGTAGGCTGAGCCAGCCATAGGGAGAAAGCCAAGAAGCAGCATTCCTCCATGGCCTCTGCATCAGTTCCTGCCTTCAGGTTCCTGCCCTGCTTGAGTTCCTGTCCTGACTTCCTTCAGTGATGACCAATGATATGGAAGTGCAAGCCAAACAAACCCTTTCCTCCTCAAGTTGCTTTTAGTCATGGTGTTTCACCACAGCAATAGTGACCCTAACTAGGACATTTACATTCTTGTTTTCAAAAAATATATGACAAATATGAGCTGCAGAGATGGCTCAGCAGTTAAGAGTGCTTATTGCTCTAGTCAGAAGACTAGAGTTCAAATCCCAGCATTCACATCAGGTGTCAAAACTGCCTGTAATTCTAGTTCAGAGAACTCTATATCCCCTTCTGGCCTCCATGTGTACACACGCACACACACACACACACACACACACACAGACTCACAAACACACACACACACATGAATAAAATAAAATAATTTAAAAATTTTTAAAGATTATAATTAATTATAATATTTCTCCCTTCACATTCCTACCTTCAAAGCCTCCCACATACCTCTCCCTACTCTCCTTCAAATTCAAGGTCTCTTTTTTTCACTAATTGTTATTGCATACATAATATAGATATAACATATATTATCATGTAGATATATAAATTATATAATATATAGATTTGGCAACAGATCAGATTACATGCTTCCTCCTATATGTAATCTACAAGACATTGGCCCAAAAAAATAAAAACTTAGTAACAAAATTTTAGTTTGCCTAAAACAACCTTTAATTTTATATCTAGGTAATATAAAATTAATATAAAAAAGAATTTGCCAATTATAAGGAGACTGGCTCACAGAAAGTTACAATGAGGTATTTTAACTAGAAAACAGATGACCAGAGTGGGCCAGCCTGCAGCCTGGGAGAGCTTTCAAGCTTTTAAGCCAGGCTAGCTCACCACAGTGCATTGTTCCAGGCTAGCTCACAAGCAATACTTCAACCATGGTGCATTGTTCCAGGCTTGGGAACTTGCCTAGACTGACTCAGGTATTTTTCTATCTGTTTAATGTTTCATTTTCCTGAAGAATAGAATGTCATATGTCATAAACGCTCACACAGACTAGAATGATTTGAGATTGATAATATCTATTTTCTCTGTACTTGTAACTCTTCTCCAGGGACAAAATGACATGATCTGTATTTCTGTTGAAATCCTAAGTTTGCCTCTTTTTTGGAATCTGTATCAATAAAGAAACATCCTGGTTGCTAGTCAATTAGAGATGCAGCCATGGCCTCTGACTAGTCCATCCATTACTCCCCTCTGCTTGATCCTTATCTCCTCTGCTGGAACCTGGCTGTCTTCTGGGGCTGGCAGACAAGTAAAGTCGGTAATGCTTGTTTTGGGTGCGTGTGCAATATGGCAAACTGTGCCTTCCAAATGAACTTTTAGAGTAAATCTATTTATTATCCTATATCTATGATTATATACATCAGCATACATGCATCATAGGAAAGGAACATGTTCAGTAGGTCTGCTTACATAACCCAGGTCTTTCAGCTATAACAGAACGACCCTCCCTATACCCTTAGCAAGCAGCTTCTCCTAGACATCATAAGGTACCCAACAGTAGCCTGGTGCCCTTGAGTACTCTAACTCAGAGAGCCCCTTGCTCATTTGCACCATGTCTGATTCACACCATCGCTTTCCATAATCTAAATAAATGTCTCTTGCCACTGTACAATCTGTATGTGCTTCTTCAGTCCATTGGCTAAAATATCAAAAAACTGGACACAGCTGGTTCAGACAACAACTTTCTATAATGTTCTGGCATTGACACTGAAAGGCCTCAACACAGTCACAGATCCTAGGACATTTTGGGTCATTCTCAACCCCTCCCTTCTTGCACAACCATGTTTGATAGTTCATTGAGACTTAATTTCTTGAATCTTGAAAAATAGTTCAGATTCATCCTTTCTGTCCCATGGTTATTTCCATCTCTACTACAGGTTTCCCTCACTCATGACTGTTAGTCAGGGTCCAATCAGATTTAACAGACCCCAGGAGAGAGGCATTATAAGGAACTGCATTATTCAAGTATCCAGCTGAGGATTTGAACCCAAGTTCTCATGGTTACAAACTGGATAATGCAATTTGTGCATTATCCAACATACAGTCCCCCTAAAGCTGTCTCCGTGCTGTATGGTGGGGTTTGAAGTCCAGAATGGCCCTTTAGGAAAAGAACTGCAGATGTAACAGAGGAACTGTAAGCAGACCAGAAAAGTCATGAGTGTGAGCCATAGTTCACGGGCTAGACAGAAGCCTATGCCTGTTTCATGACCATGACCTTGATGAGAAGGATATCCTACAGATCCTGGGCCCTTTCCATTTAGAGGCCTATGATAATCGCAGAGTCCAGAAGGCCCTTGCCCATCAATTTTGCTGGGGATGTAGTTGAGTGAGAAAGCACTGACTGAGCATGTGAAAGACGCTGGGTTGAGTTCCCAATGCTACAAAAATAATATAAAAATATAATGATATAAAACAGTAGAAAAGTGGAGAGGTGCCTGGTGGTGGTGGCGCACGCCTTTAATCCCAGCACTTGGGAGGCAGAGGCAGGTGGATTTCTGAGTTCGAGGCCAGCCTGGTCTACAGAGTGAGTTCCAGGACAGCCAGGACTACACAGAGAAACCCTATCTCAAAAAATCAAAAAAAAAAAAAAAAAGAATGTTGAAAAAAAAAGAAAAGTGGAGAGGTAAAATAGTTTAGGGGTAGAGCGATTGTCCAATATGTCCTGGCCCCTGAGTTCTATCCCCAGTAACAAAACAAAAGGCTATTTATACTATTTGGGCCTGATTAGTCAAAATTATTTTTCCAAATTTAGGTATCTTAACTCCAAAAAGAACACTTCAAAGATTATGTTGCTACTTGCTGAGTCTCAGGTACCCTCATACAAGGGTGTCATCACTAAGCATGTCGGAGCCTGTTTTCACAAGATATGACTGTCTTCTCTTTCATCGCTGATTGATCATTTGTAGTTTTATGGTATCTGGGATCTTCCACAAGCCTCAGGAACAAGTGATTCTTCAGTTCTTACCAGGAAATGGGTTGAAATTCAAGCATTCATTTAAAAGGATGTGTGTGTGTGTATGTGTGTGTGTATGTATGAATATGTGTGTACATGTGTGTGTGCATATGTAGGTGTGTGCATATATGTTGTATGTATATGTGTGCATGAATGTGTGTGTGTATGCATGTGTGTGTTCTTGTGTGTGTTGTATGTGCATATGTGTTCAGTTGGCCATGCATGCAGAGGGTACCAGAAGAAAACGGGCAGCCACTTCTGTTCCTCTCCACCTTCTTCACTAGAGACAGAGTCTCCCACTGAATCAGACATTTTCCTTTTTGTCTGGCTAGACAGTAAGCTTCCGGGAGCCTCCTGTCTCTCCCTGCCCTCCTTGCAACAGGTATTAGCAGCCAGGTTTTCACAGGAATGCTGAGGATTTGAACTCGAGTCCTCATGGTTACAAAACAAACTATCTGAGCCGTCCCCCTGGACCCGAAAAAGTCTTTTTAGTGAAGTTTTGGGTTTGGATGCCTAGCCTCCTGGATCTCATTTTCCTGAATCTATAATACTTGTTCTTGTTTTGAGGCCTTGAACATGTGTTCTATCTGAACTTCCTAGTTCTTGTTGAACTGATGCCTATTCATTCTTCAAAGTTTGTCTCAGACTCCAAGTCCTTCAGGAATCCTTGCTAATCCCCACCCTCTGCCCAACCTCCTCCACCCAGGTCTGAGCCAGAGCCTAACCTTTAGACTTTCTCTAGTAGTTAGACTCAAAAATTATAATTTCTGCTTCCTCAAGCATGGATGTGCTTTTTAAAAGCTCTTTTAAAAAAAGAACTTATTATTATTTTGTGTGTAGGATGTGTGATCACAGGCCTGCATGCCAGGGCACATGCATGAAGGTCAGAGGGCAACTTTCAGAATCTGCTTGCTCTTACCACCTCTGAGGGGTCTCACCAGGCTCATGCAGCAAAGCTTGGCTCACTGAGACATCTTGCCAGTAGGATAAGCTCTTTGGGTCTTCATCCTTAGCACACAGTGCAGGGCCTGTCACAAGCTGATGCTTCACTTCACTGAGAAGAACTTTGGACCTTACTCACGTGGAGGAACGCCCTTCTTATCCCTCAGAATCCAGATCCATCACCCAAGGAAGAGCCCTGATTGTGAGGCTTAACAGCCCCTCCTGGTCATTGCATGTGAGAAAGGTTTCTGTTTACTGTGCTAGTAGCATTCCAGTGACGCTTGTTGCTGGTGACTCACTCACTGCTGTTGTGGACTTCTGTGTCCTTACAATCTTGCTGGAGAAACCTTGTCCTCTGACCAGCATGTGCAGCCATGTACACAGCTTCTCCACTCCCACGCACATGAAACAAATAAGTAAGGGGCAACATTTGGGATATAAATAATTAAAACAATTAATTAAAAAATAAAAATAGAATATTTTAAAATTAAAAAAAGTTAAAAAAGTATACACACCATTCACATTTACCCAAGACCATGTAGACAGCACACGCCTGGTGAATAGAGACAGAAAAAGCATTTACATTGGAGATTGTCTTTGAGCCAGTTGCTCCCCATTGAGTCATATAACCTAAGACAATAACAAAGACAAAGACACAGCGATTAAACAGATTTATCCACAAGAGCATTAACTGAAGCGATGCTTACCATGGTTAAAAAAAAAAAAAGAAACAATTTAAATGTCTTACAAAGAGAGTTCTGGTTTGGATAATTGCATTAACTGTCCAAAAGCTTCCATGTAGAAATTAAAAATTAAACTATAGAAATGGGTTTATTTGTATGTTAGTAGTTGTAATCTACTGTTGGCTTTATAATCAGGCTATAATACAAAATTATAGTATCATATTACTTTTATATAAAATGGGCTCGGTATGTGCATAGGAGATACTGAATAATTATTTGTCAAGCAGGGCTGGAGCAGGCCTGTTTTCCACCTGCTTGCAGGTTTTCAGTGTTTTCTAATAGCACACAAATCATACTGCTGATAATCTTCTAATGAGAAGAAAAGTTTGGATAACTTGGTGTGACGCGCCGCCTCGCCGCTAAGGAGAACACGCCACACTCAGGATTCTTCTGACAGCAGTTTACTTGTTACAGCTCTTTTAGATGGTGTTACAGCTCTCTTAGATGGTAGTGGCGAAGGACCCCAAGCCCCAGAACCCACGGCTTATATAGAGTCCTGGGAGAACGTGCCGCATGTCCATTGGCTCCTTAAGTGATGCCTAATTAACATATTCGTTTTCATTGGCTCTTTGAGTGGCGCCTAATTAGCATATTAATTTTCGTGCCTTGCGCATGTGCACACTCGGCTTGGCTCTGACTAAAACCAGAGCGCGGGAAGCCGGTGCGCCCTGCGCAGGCGCACTTTCATTCATGGCTCTGTCAGAGAGCCGAGAAGTGGGGAGCCGGCGCCTTGCGCAGGCGCACTTTACTTCACGGCTCCCTCACGGAGCCGTGCCATTGTCGAATGGCGAACGCGGCTCCCAACAACTTGGAGCGAGTTATTTTGTGCCCTCTAGACCCAGGCCCATTATAGGAATAGATATTTTTGGATAAAGAGCAAGCAAGCAAGAAAAAAAAACTATTAAGTGTCACAATTAACTAGGCATGCACTGTCTGCATGGTCTGGTGTAAATATGAATTGTGAATATATTTTAACTTAATTTTTTTTCTTAAGTTACGTTTTTACTTGTTTCATGTGCATGGGGGAGGGAGGAGCTGTGTGCACGTGGCAGGGTGTGACAGTCATAGGACAACATGTGACATAATTCTCTACTTCTGTGGTAGAATCTGGAGGTTAAACCCAGGCTGTCAGATTCCTTTACCCACTGGGCCATCTCACTAGCTTCTTCATTGATGAGAAAACAGGTAAGAGAAAAAAATACCCATTCCTCAGGTCAAAGAGAGAATAACAAATTTCATGTAACAAGTCAACCATCTGTACGCTCTCTGGCTGTTCTTCCCAACAGAGCATCCCTCTAGGTACCCTTCTCCCACTAGGACCCTCCAATCCAGGCCAGCATGACAGGGATGAAAACAGGCCAGTCCCTGAGATCATTGTCCTCTGATGTCCCCTGGAGGCCAGTGATCCTTGCATCTAGGAAACCAGATCAAAGCCATGAGGAGTTTGCCCTTGTAGTTACAAGGATGTTTGCCCGAGGATTGACCCAACAAGACTCATGATGACCAAGAACAATAAACACCATGTACGGGCTGTGAAGCACACTGGGTTGGAGGTTCTTGGCTGAGTGTGTGCTCTTAGACCAATGTACGATTCTTAAGACTTGGCTACATCATTTCAAGAAAGTAAGTTTTGGCCTACCAACTCTCTCTAAGGGTCTGTCAATCTACGACCTCATGATCCTGGTCAAACGTAGATCACATTACAGGTATGGCATCAGAGGGATGGAAGCATACATTTCTAATATCCCAAAGGTTTCATGACACCAACCATCAGAGGGAGGGAGACTTTCTTATCCCCAAGAGGAGGAAACTGGTTCTCAGAAAGAAATAATTAGACTTTTGAGTAGTTTCCTTCATGGACTTCCAATGATTGCTCTCACTTTCCTTCCTTCTCTCTCTCCCTCCCTCCCTCTTACACATGTCCTTAAATATCCATGTGAGTATATTGCTATGTTTCCCAGGAAATTTATTAGGATAAATTAGTATTTTCTCTGACAAAGAGGCTAAAGCTGGCACACTGTCTTCCTATGACAGAGTCACGTGGGTCTGCTCAGCTCAGCCACAAGGCCTTTAGCCTGGCTCAGGAGTTGGGCAATCAATGCCTTCCCAAAGGGGAATTCCGTTCTATTTTAAGATTTTTTTTTTTAGGTATGTATTGATGTGTTGCTTGCATATATGTCTGTGTACTATGTGTGCAGTGCTCTTGGAGGCTAAAAAGGGGGGTCAGATGCTCTGGAACTAGGCAGGAAATACAAAGAGCTCACCCACTCTCTCTAGGTCCAGAGTAGGAATCTCCTGCTTTTCCTCTTCTCTGCACACCTACCCTGGGTTGTCACCTCCCATCTTATGTCTTTCCAACCACACTTACTCTTGTCTCTCCTGTATGTTCTCATAGCACAGCTCAAGCACATATGCACTCGCGCACACACATGAACACGTGCGCGCGCACACAAACACACACACATACAAAGGCATGGGTGTCTGAACACTTGGTCCCCAGTTTGTGGCACTGTTTGGGGGAGATTTAGGAGAGTGACCTTGCAGGAGGAATTGGCTCTAAGATTATACAACCACTCCCAACTTTCAGTTCTCATTCTCTCTCTCTCTCTCTCTCTCTCTCTCTTTCTCTCTCTCCCTCCTTGTTTCATGTTTGCAGATAAGAGTGCACAGCTTCCTGCCTCCCTGTCATGAAGGACTCTTATCCCCCTGAAACAAAATAAGTTCTCTCTTCTATAAGTCGCTTTTGGTTAACATGAGCCTTAACATGACAACACGGAAGTAACTGATACACTTATCCTTATTTATGTACATATGTAAGCAAATATATGTGTGGCGCACATTAATATGCGTTTGTTTTGTAGAATATCCTTCACACCAATCGCCTCCCCCAGAGTACCACAAAAGATGATGCCTTGCCCTTGTTGATATGTTATATATTAGATCAATTTCTCCCAGTATCATTGCTTTAATATTGATCATTTGATTAATGTGGTATCCTCCAGGTTTCACTGTTTTATAGTTACATTTCTCCCACCAAAACTAAGAAATAATCTGTGTGGCTCAGCAGTTAAGAGCAAGTAACGCAGAGAACCAGAGTTCCATACCTAGTACCTACACTGGTAGTTCACACACAAATGCTTGTGACTCCAGTTTTAGAAGATCTGATGCCCTCTTCTGGCCTCTAAGAACACTACACACACACACACACACACACACACACACAATTTTCTTTACAAAAAAACAAAAGGAGTTATCTGTAAGGAGAAAGCTAAGAGACTCTATAAGCAATCTGCTCTGTGTCAAATTTTGCTTCCTATGTTTAACACACATTGATGATTCTTACCTGGATTATTTATTACAATAGTGGCTGCAAAATGGTGACTTTGAAATGCCATTGACTATATACTAAGGACCTATGGGCCACTATTTTTTCTGTATATTACTATCATTATTTACTTTTATGTTCAGGTTGTCAAAGAGTTGACAGTGTCTTCCCTTCAAGTGTGTTCTTTGACAGAAATTTAATCTGAGTACCTCCTTACTTTCTGCACAAGGCCAGCTTCTGCTCTTCATTTCCCTGGAATCAACCATGTCAAAGAGCCTAGGTTTCTAATAAAGACTGGGATTGAACTGGTTTTGATGACACATGATTTGATACCAGCACTCAGGAGATTGAGACAGGCAGTTATACATGAATTTAAGGTCACCCTGGTCTACATAGTAAGTTCCAGAACAGCCAAGCCTACGTAGAAAGACCCTATCTCAAAAATAAAATTTTTAAAAGACTAAAATTGAAAAACCAGGTTCAGCTCTGGTGGGCTTGTTGGACTGAAGTCTCCATGCTTGTAGGCCTTCTCAGCCAGCATAAGAGGAAAGAATAATCATCTCCAATGGGCCTGACTCAAATTCTGAATTCACTTGCTGCCTCTAGTACCAGCCCCAAACCCCAGAGTTCCTCATTCTCTCCCACACATTCTTGCTCAGTGAGAACCTTCCTTCCTAGCAGTTTCCTTAACATCACAACACATGCAAATAGATTTTTAGAATTGCTATACCCATTCCACCATGGAAAAGCAAAATATTTCACACTTACCGTACATCTTTTAGTCTGTTGTGTGGTCAAAGAACTGCATTCAAGAAGAACTGGGCCTGAAGTTGTGGTTTTATTTCTTCTGCTGTGTCCTGGTTTCATCTGAAACACAAGTTCATTCTTTTTTGTTTCCATTTAATTTTGTTATCCCCCCCCAACTCAACTTTGTTTAATTAATTTTACAGTTTTTGACATGGTCATAGTATTCTAAAATTCAAAACTATACAAAAAGGAATACTCAGAAAATACTGATAATTTTGAGGAATTGACATTTGGTTCTTAGTTGTGCTCTGAACGTTCTCTGAGTCATTGCTAGGTGTACCCCAACCCAGTAGGATTTCCCGGGCCTTCCAGTCTTACCTCCCGTAGGCACCACTTGACTGCAGACCTTACCATGTTCTTTCATTTCCGCCAGCAGGCAAGAGAGCTGAGCTTCTTTGGCAAGTATGCCTGAGTCGGGGCCCTTGCGTGAGAACCCGGGCGGCCAGATCGGCTTCTGATGATTTCACAGCTATTGTCATACGGATTAGAAAAGATACCTTGCTTTGTGGTATCACAGCTATCAAACAGGATGACGAGACCTTTGAAACAGCCGCACTCCTCGACATTCCACGTGAGTGCCCTGGACTTACCCATGCCTGACCTGCTGCTGGCAGCCAGAGCCTTTCTGGGTCACTGTGTGTACAGTACTGATTATGGTGACATTCAGCAATAAAGCCACCTACTGAGTGAGAGCCTTGGGAATCAGCAGCTCTGGGTGGAGAAGGCCCTGTGCAAGGGAGCCACACCCTATAGGTGGGACCCAAAGTGCAGGTGAAGCATTGGGAAAAGCCCAGGTAGAAGCAGTACTGGGTGGCTCCTTAGAAAGACACGGAACCTAATTTGAGCTTATTCTCTCTAGGACCTTGCCTCTAATTCATATTTAGGGTGTGTGCCAGCCCTGAAACCCAGCTAAGCAGCGTATTATTCCTGGAGTTCTGAATGATGGCGCACTCTGTTTGCAAGACATAAAAGGGCAATCAGAGCGAGAAGCTGCCATCATCCTTTGCAGGTCCATTGGGAACACCTGGAGAGCATCCCGCCAGTTTGTTAATTAACAAACAAGCTACTTGTTTATACACCACCGTGCTTCTGTGAGTTGGTCTCCTGGCCCAAGTGACTCCCGGTCCTCAGGAAAGTGTGTCAGAGCTGCAGGGCTGAGCCCCACCTTCGGTGCTACTACCTTTCTTAGATCAACGGGACTGTGAGTATGTGCCATGTTTGGATATCTTTCTTGCCCTCTCCTTATTGTTTAGAAAGTACAGAGATCAAACTCATAGCCAAGCACAGTTCACCGATCCTCACACAGCCCACGTGTGTGTGGAAAACGCTTCCTGTGTTCCCATTGGTGAGTACCGAAATGGAAATAAACCCATGCCTGCGTGAACCCAGCGTCTGTACTATTGGCCTCGCCGTAACAAGGATTTTTTTCGGGGAATCCCACTTGTGATGCAATGCGGTAGGATCATGTTCCCCTAGGAACATGGTGGATATATGTATGTGCATTAAACAGTCTAAACTTTTTCATATATTGCTGAAATGTGATTAAAGTTCGACAGAGCCGGGTTCTAGGAGCAGCAGTTACTGGAGATGGAATGGCACCCGTTGCAGAGAGAGGCAGGGTGCATTCCCACCAGAGCTAAAAGGGCCCTTAGCAATCGCACAACCATTGGAAGCCCTACACAGATGAGGAAACTGGACTTAAGTGTTACACCACTAGCCTAGCTCACGCAGACAAGGGCTGAAGCAGGGTCATCGTCAAAGTCCAGTTTACCACATGGTTTAGCATCCTTTTACCCCGTTTGCGTCTGAGTTTCATTAAAGTTGCACCAATGGCCTCTACCTAAGCGTACTGGGTACATTTCCTCAGGCATCCAACACTCCAGTAGAGACCTCTCACGAAAGTGTGTTCACTGCTGGCTGAAAACGAATCTCTGTTGAACCTCAGAGTTTGAATATCTGATTTTTTTCAATCGATAAAGGAAAACTTAAGCACATTTAAATTAAATTTAAAAAGTTTTAAAGCATTCATTAATTTATGAGTGTAAGATTGTGGGAGGGTAAACATGTGCAATGCAGCTGCAGAAACAAGGAAAGCTAAATGCATTTTATTGGTTAGAGTAGAAAGCTCCTGTCTAGAGGTTATTTATTTACTTATTTATTTATTTGGTAGAGATTTAAATTCCAGAGCTTCCCCAATCTAATGGTCTCTCAATTTGTGTTGCTTTTCTTAAAATAACACTTTCTGGCTTCGATACCCATTTTTCTCGCATTATCCCCATTTGAAAACACAACCAAGAGCCCACTTCTGTAGAACCGTAATCTTCAGATTTGGGTTTCATAAATCAACCTTTATTAACAACTTGTTTACTTAAAAATAAAAAGTGGGTGCAGCTTATTAATGTGGTCCATCCTGTGCTATGCTGCTGCCACAGAATCCTCCTCACCCTTCCGGAGGAGGCTGGGACAGCCTTCTTGCTGTGTCACACTTGAGCAGGAGGCAGAGGTGGTAGGAGGAACTCTGCATAACAAATTTACTCAGCTGCCATGGCCGTGCTCCACCCCTGAGATCAGAGCCCTTGGGACTTAATCTCCTCTTTAAAGGCACCACCTGTCCATTGGTTTCATAAGTGATTCGTTTTTTCAACATCTGAGCTTTGGGTGCGCGTGCTTTTTGGGAGCGCGTTCAAAGCACATCGGTCTTGCTAAGCTCTTGATTCCCGACAGCCTACCTCGATTCCGGGCATTGTTCAGTTGCTCAATAAGAACCTGTGAGTTACAGGTAGCTGTGTTACGCAACATCTAACAACGTCTAGCCTTCTGCACCAACGATTTCTGGTGCAGGGTCAGACTTGGCAGCGTGGCTTACAGCGGGTAAGTGGCTTCTCCATCTCGGCTGGTCGGTCGGTAGCTGAAAGAGTAGTTCACACAGTGCTCTAATTATCTGTGTGATGACAAAAATATTTTTACATTTGTTTGTTATTTATTTCTTTTTGTGTGGAGGTGGGGTGGGTGGGGATGCACGGGCCAGAGTGCAGATGTGGAGGTCAGAGGACAATGTTCAGAAGTCGGTTCTTTTTCACCATGAGAGTCTCAGGAGTTAAACTTGGGTCATCAGGCTTGGCAGCAAGCCAAGGGGCTTTAGGGGCTGAGCCATTTCACCAGCCTTAATGAAAATCTTCTAAAAGGGAAGGCTCCTGTGCTATTTCTTGTATTGATTCATTTGAGATTTTTACCCTTTCTGAACCCCAGTGTTTTCCCCTGGTTGGACTTGCTAAGTTTTCTTCATAATTTTCAGTGAGTGTCTGTACTACCACTAAGTTAGTGAGCAAATGCTGTTACCTAGTTGCCTATGAGTAGTTATCAAATGAGGGGGGAAATCTGTGTTCTGCTCAACTATGATATAATTAAATTTATCATAGTAAATTTAAGTTATTTAGTAAGTTTATTATCATAAAATTACCCTTTTCTTGGTAACAGCAATGTTAGCTAAAAACATAAGCTTAATATGCAATCAACATTTTAAGTAAATGTAGGAACTTTATCAGTGTTAACAGCCTTCTTTTGCTCAGGTCACTTGTGTCAGCCATAGCTTACTGCATGTTGGATTTTCATCTAGACCAGAGGAACATTTCTTTCCATCCAAAATATTTGGTCCCTCTCACCAGGTTCCCATGAAAAAGTCTCACAGACTGGTATCCTTATTTATGAACACAGACATTCCCAAAATATATTTGTGGATTAAAAATAAGCACTACTCAGAAAAACTCTTGTATTCTCTAGTAGCTGTAGGGAACTATGTTGGAAAGCTTTGGAGTTCAAGATACTCTGTGTATTGAGGGCCTACCAGATTGGTACCTGTGGATAAAGCAGACCCTCCATCTATTGAACACAGAAAAGCTGGGCAGGGGTGGAGGTGGAGGTGGACTAGAACAGAGGAACATTGCTTGCCATCCAGACACAGAGTATCTTAAACAACAATGCTTTCCAACATAGTTCCCTACAGCT